ATTTAACAATCAATTCAAAGATGATTAGTCATGCTGGAGTAACAATTTGAGGCTAACTGGGCTAACTCAACAGGTACAGGTAGAAGCTAGGCCAGCACCTCCGTAGTACCACAGGTGATTGAAGTATTGCTGAACCTAGCTAACTGTTAAACTTTCCACCCCAATTTTGAGGGAGAACACCCCGGGGGGGGTGGTCCGAGGTTCTCCCGCCCCTCTTTTTTTACCATTAACCACTTGAGAGGACTTTCTGAGATAAATGAGTTCTGGTATTAATAGTGTACACAAATCATATAGGCTGACTCAACAACCTGCCCGCCGATATATTTATTAAATGGCCAAAAAGGCATATCATCAACTCCGCATAATAACAAGAAGGACAAAATAGTAACGTGCGCTGGCTAGCAAAATCAAGCTCTGAATAAACTTCTAGATTCTTCTGCATTTATACCCTCTTCACTTTAAATTTGCCTCCTGGCGACGAAATGCGATGGGAAAAATGAGAGGTTCAGGAAAGATACCAAACTTAAAATAATTTGCTATGCAAACTAAGGGAAACCCTACAGACTGACTATGGAAAACACCATCGTTCCTATCGTTAGAAACCAAAAGATAAATGATGTAAATTTAAATGCAAAATTTCAGAATCGGAAGAAGGGTCATCAAGTGCCTGATTTGTCTCACTGAACAAGGAATACTGAACTATGGAGCATAAAGTTACTCACAGAATCTTTATATTTTTTTTTGTTACAACTGAAGGACGCATATCGTTCGGCCTCAAGAAATGCCTAAACACAGCACGATTCTGCTTGTATTATTTTTCAAAATTCAGGCAGCAGCTTTTAAGAGCAGCTTCATTGCTACTATTCGTCTGGTTCAAATAGAAATGAAATTTTTAGTAGTGATTTTAACAATGCCTTGAAATGCGAGAGGAGGAATTTGTTTTACCAACTAAAATTCAACACCAGAAATATTTTGTAATTAATTAATTAAAAAAAATAAAATGTATATTTTCTCGGGTTTTCCGTGATTTCTACTGAATGGATAAACAGCATTTATTGTTTTAATGTAGCGTCATTTGTTACATTTCTCGTGTTAATTTCTTTACTTCATCCTCCTTTTAAAAAATACGACAATGGAGGATTTTGATAAGATTGTAAATGAAATGTTTAAACTTTAGTACTATTTTACTGATGGCTAAGTAAATAATATTTTATTCTTAATCGGTCTTATTTATCTTTAGATAATAAGGCCGTTTCTCGCGAACTACCTACTTTCTCGAACGATTTTTAACCACGAGTGCATGTTATTGAGAAGTCGTTATCTTCAACACTCTAAACACTCCCCTTATCCTTTTCAAGTGTAGCTTTATCACAAGGTTCCTCAAGGTAGATCTTATTTCAAACGTCTGCAGCTCTTGAGATTAAAGGAATAGAAAATGCAAGTTAAAAAAAAAAAAAAAAAAAAAAGTATGTAAAAATAGGAGGACGTCATATTCCTTCGAGCTAGGCAGAAAAAACTTCAGCAAATCTTCAGCTACCATATCTTTATTCATAACAGTTCATATTTTTGTACTTTATAGCGCACTTAATTTAAAATAGAAAAATAGGAAACTGTAATCGCAAATGAATACGAATTTTAAGATAAAAAATTTTTATTTAATTTTGATGCATTTTTATTCTCATGCAGTATCCACCAGTGGTGGTGGTGAGAGTGGAACTGCCCGATTTGAAATGGAAATAAAACATGCTCTAGACTTTTAATGCATAAACAGAAGGAGGTTTAGTGTGCCATTTCTATTCTCCATTTCCATTCATTCCCCTAAAACTTGCAACACAGATCGCTCCAGCAGAAATTAAAGCATGTGAAAAATATAATTCCCATTTTTTCCCATGCAGTATCCACCAGTGGTGGTGGTGAGAGTGGAACTGCCCAATTTGAAATGGAAATAAAACATGCTCTAGACTTTTAATGCATAAACAGAAGGAGGTTTAGTGTGCCATTTCTATTCTCCATTTCCATTCATTCCCCTAAAACTTGCAACACAGATCGCTCCAGCAGAAATCAAAGCATGTGAAAAATATAATTCCCATTTTTTCCCATGCAGTATCCACCAGTGGTGGTGGTGAGAGTGGAACTGCCCGATTTGAAATGGAAATAAAACATGCTCTAGACTTTTAATGCATAAACAGAAGGAGGTTTAGTGTGCCATTTCTATTCTCCATTTCCATTCATTCCCCTAAAACTTGCTACACACATCGCTCCAGCAGAAATCAAAGCATGTGAAAAATATAATTCCCATTTTTTCCCATGCAGTATCCACCAGTGGTGGTGGGGAGAGTGGAACTGCCCGATTTGAAATGGAAATAAAGCATGCTCTAGACTTTTAATGCATAAACAGAAGGAGGTTTAGTGTGCCATTTCTATTCTCCATTTCCATTCATTCCCCTAAAACTTGCAACACAGATCGCTCCAGCAGAAATCAAAGCATGTGAAAAATATAAATAAGAACGACCTAAACGAATAGCACGAAAATAATCCACATGCAGAGTCGTAGTTAGGGTTTTCAGCGCCCAGGGACAATTGAAGATTTCGCGCCCCCTACTGCTTGCCAAGGATGGAAAACATTTAATTCCAAAATGTCGTAACATCAGTTTGGCGCCCCTTGGATTCTGCGCCCGGGGACAGATGGCCCCCTTGCCCCCCTCTAGCTACGCCTCTGTCCACAGGGTGGTCATAAACGTCACCAATATATGAACCCCTATCGGCCAGTCCGCTCAAACAATCGAAATGAAATTTTCAGATATTGTTATTTGCACTCGACATTGTGATGATTTAAAAACCACAGAGCTCTCATGGTTATGGTGACAATGATAAAATTTCGAAATTTTCGAATGACAACACCCACTTTATTAATGCGCAAATGGATCAGAGCATTGGGGGGGGGTTTGAAGGATACACGTACGACGAAAATTGCCGGTGTCAAACATTTGCAAAGAAGAGCATTGTAAAGGACCGGGGACATAGACAGGAGATGCACTGACATACTTTGCATAATTCACAGAGATAAACAGTAAAAACACCAATTACAGAACACGATGTACAAAGCAGTGCTTACTGAAAACATTTAATAATTAGTGTGGAAAAGCTGTTTTTTCAATCAGGTTGTGGGGTTCCAACCTTTTATCTAACAGCTAAGTGTGTAGGAACCCTCGTGAACAAGTAAGCGAATAGTCGCTTTAGCTCAGAAAACAGAAACGTAAAACTCAAGAAGGGTTAATGACCCTTTATTTCTCATAATAAGAACTTAACAGATAGCTCCTTCAGAGCGTACAGCAAAGTCTCCACTTGGGCTTTAACTTTAAGTAATAAGAAGTAAAACTTAACTTATGCTTAACTATAAAGATAGACCCGAAACTATCAAGATGCCTAAGTAATTGGCCGCTAAATATCAAATAAGCTAGCGAAGCTATCAACAGCTTGAAATACGGCCGAGCATAGTAATAGCTTAAAGAGAATGTAGCCAAAAGGCGAACGCGCGCTAGTCAGAAACTGTGGCTCTCTAACGAAGTCAGTGGAACTTCGACTTAAATACCGCTCTTACTCATTTGCATTAACCGCGATTCTAAAACCACATTCTGGTAGGAAATTTTAAGCTGAAATCAGAAGTGACAGGAAAGTAGCTATAACTAAAGATAACTCAAAACTTAGGATAAACCTTACAAGGTGGTCGAACGTGCTAACAAATGAAATCTGCAGGGAAAGCACGAGGTGAATTGATAAAGCTGTTTTTTCTGTGTGGGGAATATGCAACCAAAGCAGTGCGAGTTTATCTGCGAAATCATGAACTAAGATGAAACCCATGTTCCGCAAAAACTGTTCGTGATTTGGTAAAAAATTCGAAGAAATTGGATGCATATGTGATTAGATGCCCAACTAGACGATCCTGTGCTCCTACGGAAGTTGCTGCGGAATACGATTACTGTAGGCTCATTGCATTCTGCAAGAAGTGCTGCCCGCAGTTTATAGATGTACCGAAAACCATAGTCCTCAGGCATATGCGCTATACTCTGCGGTTGCTTCTTTATCGATTCCAGCGCGTTCAAATATTGCAACCTGGAGACGAGCAACAGCGTGTCGACTTCGCGATTTTTTCCCTCAGATATGATGAAGACAGCATGTGGCCGCTGAGGATAAGGGGGCATTTTTCCGTAACTGGGAACGTAAACTGGAGCGTAACTGGGAAAATTATTTTGGATCCGTAGCTAGAACATGAATAAGTTATTAATCGAGAATTTGGAATAATATATTGCAAAAATTCTTTGATTATTTTTAAGGTAATTTTAATGTTTAATGACGAAAACACGAGAACATAATTAATACGAAGATAACACATAAGAAATGAGAAGAAAATAAGAAGAAAAAAGTCAGTCCATGGCATCACGAAAACAGAATAACTTCATATTAAGTGGAATTAATCCTTAGGATAATTCAGATTCAGCATTATAAGAAGAATTCACAGTCCTTCGCATACACACATAACTTCGAACTTCATCGTTGCTTCTGTTTTTATCTCCGCAGCGAGAGATAGTCACGTGATCCTGTTGGTGAGCGAGTTGCCATTCTGAGATATAAAAAAAATCTTATAAACCCACATTTATAACATTCCTGTCTACGGCGCTACTTTAATCTTGCAAACAGTGCTGTCATGCCGGTGTAGGTTACAGCCAACTTATCCGTTTAATATATCTGTGTAGCCTCCGGCTAACTAAGTTTTAAAAATTCTACTTTTTAAGTTTACGCCAGAACTGCTGGCCCTTGACTTAATGTATGTTACCGAGAAGAGTGTGTGACTCTACAATATAAATTTCTTAAGAATACTATTTATATTTTTAAAATTTAAAATATTCACTTTTAAAATTATAAGATTTCAAATTGAGTAACATATATAAAACAAGAATGGCAACACTTTTATTTCAATTCCTCATTTCGAATAAATACAATTTTTTTTCAAGCGAGATTTCAGTTTTTATTAAGAAAAAGCCTTAAGTTTCATTTGATGTTTGATTCTGAGCCTTAAGCAAAACACTGAAATTGCAAAGTGCAGATTTCAGCCCACTCCAAATATGCTTCCCAAATGACGCAGAAATGAAGAAATCCTCTCAGCAAACATATCTGGTCATTAAACTCCATTTCTTATTCTATCCGTCTAATCGAGCCCTTGCAGTTTGAAATATGTACCCAGGTCCTTCTTTCTCTTCGTTATACCCCAATGTGCAGTTTCCAAATTCTATCGAAAGAAAGGATTGAGTTTCAGAGATACAATCTAAGCTGTGATAAAAAAATCTCATTGAGTAAGAAAAAAAAAATGATGTATTTTAACATAAATGGGAATAAACTCGGGCAGAGATAAAGTAACATATAAATGTAAAAAAAGTATAAATGGGAAAAGTATAATAGTGCTTTATTCTATCACTATCATCTTTACTGCATGAATGAATATTATTCTGGATATTTTTCAAAGTTTTTTTTTTAATATGTAAGAACAGCGAATAAAAAACAGAAATAATAGCTTTTGTAGTTTAATTTATCAACTTATTATTTGTAGTTATTTTATCAGCTTTGATGGCAAGCAATTTTATTTCCTCCCCCCCCCAAAAAAAAGGAACTTTATTATCTTAAAAAAAATTCATGACTTTCTCAGCATTTTTTAATAATTAGATAAGAATAATTTTCTTCGAAAAGAGCTGAACCATAGTCTTCTGTCCATTGCTTCTTTAAAAGTGCCATTTTGCATGAAAACAAAATTTTTTAAGTAGCAGACGATTATTTACACTTTCAAAAACACAGCTGTAGTTAAAAAAAATTCCAAGCAGACGATGCTTTGTATAGCAAACCAAAGTCGTCTAAAAAATGTGCGTCTTAGAAATGTTATCACCTTTCTAAGACGACTACTTCGCTGAAGATAAAAAATCATCCGGAACCAGGGTGATCGTCTTATTATTATCTGTATTTCAGAAATAGTTGAAGAATCGAAGGACTATAAATTAAAAAAAAAAACCTTGGAACTCTTCCGTGCTAAATCCCGACCTGATTTAGCACAGCGAAACTTATAATGAACTCCTACAAAAATACTGGCTGTGTATTATTGAATAGTTTAAAGAATACAGTGTCTCATAAAAGTGATGGGACACTTGTGCTTTACAAAAGGAAACTGTAGTAAAATAAATTAAAAAACACGTAAAAATTTTTTGTGGGTGTGTTTCATACTTAAATATAGTAACAATTATTACATGACATACATTTTCTCAAAATATTAAAATATTAATTTAATAAAAATACAATTGTTTAGAACGGAGCAAAAAATGGCTCACATAAGTGATGGGACACTTACTTTTCCATCAAATATTTATCCAAAAATTTTACTTTTTAAAAGGTTTTTTTAATATTTTGTTGGATTTCCTTTTACTTTTAAAACATGATTTAATCTTCTTGGAATGGATTCGACTAATTTTTTTTGTGATTTCTGGAGTGATTTTACCCCATTCTTCTTGAAGCACCGATTTTAATTGTTGTTTTGAAGAAATGGTGTGTTTGCGAATTCTTGATTCGAATTCTTGCCAAATATTCTCTATGGGATTTAAGTCTGGAGATTGTGGTGGTGTTTTTATTATTTTAGGACAGTTATACAGCAGCCAGAGTCTAACGTTCAAAGCAGTGTGCGTGGGGTCATTGTCCTGGTAGAATTTAAAATTGTTATGAAAATTTAATTTTCGCGCTGAAGATTTCAAATTTTGATTTAAAATGTCAATATACTTGTACTGATCCATTACACTGTCAATAAAAACAAGATTACCAACTCCAGCGGACGGCATACACCCCCATACCATAACTCCTCCTCCACCATGTTTTGCTGTTGGCACCAAGTTCTGTTTTCGAAATTCTTCCCTGGGTTTTCTCCACACCAAGATTCTACCGTCAGAACCAAATATATTAAATATACTCTCATCAGCAAATATAACTTCATTCCAGTAATCAGAATTCTTATTTATGTTGGATTTTGCGAAAGCCAGTCTGATTTTTTCTATTCTTTTCACTTACGAAGAATTTTTTCCTGGCTGCTCTACCGTGTGATATCCAGCAGATCGAATTACTCTTCTAATAGTCCTCAGGTTTAACAATTACTCCATATAATGCTTGTAAATCAGCAGCAACTTTAGGAACACTCATTCTTGGATTTTTTTAAAATATTTCGAACGATAATTCGCTTTATTCCATTGGATAGCTTTGATGGTCGGCCAGGTCTTCTTTTATTCTGAATCATATGATTCTTTTTATATCGTTTAATGATATTGTAAATTGTTGAATGACTCAAGTTAACTGTTTCAGGAGTTTCTCTAATAGATTTTCCACGTTCAATATGCAAATTAATAAGTAATTTTCTAACTTCAGGCAAAGTTTCATTTCGTTTAGTATTCATGGCTGCACAGAGCTAAAAAACACAAAAATTCCAAAAAAAAAACTGGAGAGAAATACTGCAGACGATTTTACAAATTATTGCCAATTGCTTTTGAGTAAAAATAAAAACCCAAAAAATATTTTTATTGTAGTACGTAGTAGTATCTAATGGTGTCCCATCACTTAATGTGAGCCATTTTTTGCTCCTTTCCAAACAATTGTATTTTTTATTAAATTACTATTTTAATATTTTGAGAAAATGTATGTTATGTAATAATTGTTACTAAATTTAAGTATGTAACACACCCAAAAAACATTTTTACGTGTTTTTCTAATTTATTTTATTAGTTTCCTTTTGTAAAGCACAAGTGTCCCATCACTTTTGTGAGACACTGTACGTATTACTAGACCAGATGACAGAATGTATGACTTTAAACAATTAATTTGCCAATGATAATGGTAATTTTTTAAATTATCGTAAATTGTCTCAAATTTTGAGTGTATGAACTTTCAATGAATAATGGCGTAGTATATGTATCGTATCCAGATGTCATAAGAAGAAATGTTGTCCTTCATTTAAGCGATGGGGGGAAATGAAATCTTTCATTTTTTCCGTGTTGGCGTGAAACAAAATAGAATTAATCCTCTCGTGGCGATCACATCTGAAAATCAATAATATTTCTGAGAACTTCAAAAAAATCGGTGCTGTTATCACCTTTCTAAGACAACCACTTAGCTGAAGACAAAAAAATCATCCGGATCCAGGGTGATCGTCTTAGGATTATCTGTATTTCAGAAATAGTTGAAGAATCGAAGGACTATAAATTTAAAAAAAAAAAAAAAAAAAAAAATCTGAAATGTTTCAGATTTTAAATTACGTCCAAAGGGGCGTTTTTTAACATTTTGTGTGTTACCTTTCTTTATTAAATATAATGTTCCTCGCACTTAAACCATAAGATCCAGTGCAACAGCAATATCGTAAAATAGTTTTAAAACGAGCATATCTTTAGAATTTCCGATACAGAGACTCACGCGCTGGAGATAAAATGTTTTTTTTGTGCACAACGTTGCCATTGCTCGCTTTGAAATCCTTGAGTTTGTTAATCAAAAATTCGTCAAAGTTTTAAAAAATAGGAAATCGAATCATAAAACAAATTTTCAAATTTCAAATTTGGTCTTCCACATGCTCATATTCGTTGGAGGATTACGTTATTCAAAATTCGATGACTCTATGTACCGTTGTTTTATCACAATACGAGAAATATACATACATTTATGCAGATTTTCATTATTTAATTTTCTTCAAATATAATGCAGGACTCTAACATTTTGTGGCAACAGTTTGAAAAGTGAACCGACATTTATGAGTCCGACGCAAAATGCCAAAACGAAACTAATAGTCCTTCGGGATTCAAATCCCTTTGGACTAAAAAAAAATCTTGGAACTACTCTGGACTCTAGCCATTATCAATAGTTTTGTCAAATTCATTCAGTCTTTATACCACAATAAATCTTGAATTTGTTGTAAATCATTTCTACTTATTGATTATCAATATTTCAGATTTAGTTTGACAAGCTTATTACAGTGGTACCAATACGCCACGTAAACATAACGGACTTTAAGCAAAATATCTTTCGAGCAATTCAACAGCCTTTTTTTTTATTTCGCATGTTACTCTTTCACTAAATTTATCAATTAATAATACAAAAACTTCATTGAAACAATTACTTTCTTCGGGGGCATAGAAGCATTCTCCTGCTAAATTAGAAAACGGAAACAATATGATAGCTTTAAAGTAATATCAAGGAAATATGCGATGGTGTTTTAGAAATTACAAAAAATGGTAATAAATATATCGATTCTAAAATTCAGGCTGACAATTTAATTTCAAATATTTGTTCATGTGAGTTCGTTTGCTGTATTAATATTTGGTACAACATCTTAAATGACATAAATGTTGCAAAAGAAATGAAGCGGAGTTCAAAATTTAATCTAAAACCAATTATAGAAAATTTCGATCTCATTTGCAAAAGATTTGAAGAATATCAAGAAAATTTAAACGTTTGCAAACGTTATTATTTCTGCAAAGGTTATCTCAGTATAGATCTCGTTTTACCAAACGTTTTGAAAGAACAAAAGAATATATATATGCATAAGGATGATGCATATATATATTGATGCATATATTTCCTGATGCAAATAATGCGTAAGGAAACTTAAAATTGTACTTTTATTCCGATTTCAGACACTATACTATCAGAAATTACAGAAAGGGTTAGAGCCGAAAACATCGCGGACGAAAACATGACGGAGAAAATAACGCAAGGCGAAAACGTCGTGATACAAAACATCGTGGGAGAAAACATCGCAAAGAGAAAACATCGCAGTTCTAAAACATCGTGATACAAAATATTGTCGTCCAAAATAAAGCGGTTCAAAAATTTCGCAGTTTAAAAACATCGTCGTCGAAAATATCGTGGTAAAAAATAAAGTATCTACAAATCATCGCATGACGATAACATCGCAGACATGCTTTTTTCAGGCTTTAATAATTGTAAATGGATATTTCCATAATGATTTGTGAGCGCAAGATGAAAAGAAGGATAATCTTTACTTTCATATTTTTTATGAACTAATAATTTTTTGCTGAAAAAATAAGAGGGAAATTTTAGCATAGAAAATTAAGGCAACTTATATCACTTAACTGAATTTTAAACTGACATAGTTAACTAACAAAGGTCATTAATAAATCATTTTTTATAAAATTTTTACTGGTAATTTTTCATTAAAAGTATAATCTAAAAATGTTTAGAAAAAGGAAGTTACGTAAC